ATGATGCCTCATGAGAGGCACCAGTTGCACCTGGAGCCCCTATGCCTGAAGCTCTTGAAAAAGCCTCTCCAGCATTTTCTGTCCTCCTGCTTCTTGCTTAGGTCAAAAGGTTAAAAGGGAGTCTCTAACCTGAGTGCATGTGAAGGAAATCAGGAATAGAGGGTCCACTTTTCCTACAAAGCTTAAATAAATTACACTCCTTTTAGATCCTGGCCCCCACTTTCTGAAGTCCCAGCTGCCTTACATTTCTAAAAATTTGAAAATATTAATTATTCTCTTTCTTTTGAATTCCCCTACATTGACTTAGGTTTCCACTATCTCTAAGTCACTTTTCACAAGTGCCTTCATTTTCAAGCTTCCTAAATATATTTCACTCATCTGTTGCTGTTTTTTTTCCCTATTACTTTCATCCTCCTGTGTGTTAATGGCATTTTTATTCTTAATTCAGTTTATTTCCTTGTTTAGTGGGGTTTCGGAGGAAATATGCATAAATGTGCAAGTTCAATTAGTCGCCTTTGCAAGGACCTGCTGCTACTTTCTTTAAAAAAGCAGGAAAGCCAGATTTCTCATGAAACATCGCAGATGCTCCATTTGTAAATTCGACAAGACTTTTTTCTCTTTCTAGCACAATTTTTGTTAACAAAGAAACTGAAGATTTGAAGGATTTGAAGATTTCAAAGTCCTGTGAGATTTCCAAAAACAACTCAGAAAAAAATGAATTTTTTCTTTGAACGTGCCAGCCAGGATGTAGCAAACAAAACTAGGAGCCGAGAGAACATCTGTTTCATTTGAATTCATACTGAAGGACAAAAGATGCATTTCTTAATTATTTCATACCTTTCCTCAAAATATTAGAAGAAATGTGAGCAATTCATAATGGATGATGTCATTTATAAGAGACACAATTCCAGTTTATTCCAGTACTTTAAGAAAGAAAACACTTGAGCATTTCCAACGGACATAGTAGCGAGGTCTCACTAATCGTATTTAAATTACTTAACTTTTCAATATAATAAACTTTAGCATTCTTTAATATAATGCATTTGAGTTGGCACAACTAAGGTGTTGGTACAACTTCATCTTGAAATCTTCTTAATAACAAGAGCTATCCTATTTGACAAATTTTCAGAATAGACAGAGTTAAGTGCTTTAGGCTTTGGTGATATACTGTTAGCAAGAAGCTCCTCACACAAAAAGAAGTCTAGCTTTTATATTCTATTTTGTTCAATCATGAGGGAAAAACTAAAAGCTTAGTAGTGTGTCCTTTATGTTGACATTGTCCAACATCAATAAGATTTAAAATAAACACATATTGATAATTATGTAAGATACGTTACCTACAAACACACACAACTTCAATAAATAATCTAGACATTCTATCTTTGCAAAATGACTATTCCATGCTACCTGGTGATACATTTGTGCAACGTATGCAACCCCAAACCTGTCTGAGAAACAGTATTTCAAAATATAATTTAAAATAAAATGGCACCTTTTACAAAAATAATTTTCAACTTCGCAGGAAGAAATGAAACATATTACTTATACCCTATCATGGGTCCGCTGATAACCATCATGAACCCACAGCACAGAAGAATCAAGAATCATGACCTCAGGTTAAGAGCCTTTACAACTTAAAATATATGAATTTAATTCATAAGTGATACATAACTTTGTTCTGAAAAATTCAAACAATACAAAAATACATATAGCAAAATGTACAGTTCCCCTTTATTCCTGCCCAAATTCCACTATTCTTATTCATTTCCAAATTGTTATATATATATATTTCCAAATACACACACACACACACACACACACACACACACACACACATATATATATATACACACCTTAAATAAAAGTGCACAAAACATTTTTCTTGAATTGAAATATATCATGTAGGCTTACATTCAGGTCTATCTCATGCAAATTATTTCATAATATGGGATTATCATTGTGTTCAGTTATGTTCTTATTAGTGAACATATATAGGCCCTTTTTTGTTGCTATTTCAGTGGGTCCTTTTGTAAAATTATCTTATATACATGTGAATACATATATAAGTTAGATTCCTAGACATAGGAATGCTGCAGTGAAGGATAAATGAGTTTCATATTGTTATGTATCTTGACAAATCATCTTCCCAGTTAGCATCAAGTCATGTGATCACAGAAAGCATATTAGACAACACAAAATCTCACTGGTCTTGTTAACTTCTCTCAATGTCTTTCTAAAAAAATGTTTTCTCACTTGTTTCTTTCATTTTCCCTCTACATCTGTCTTATAATTTTTGCTTGAACGGTCAAATATAATTTAGAAAACTCAAAATAAGAAGGAAAGTCTATTGTATTCACTCATATTTTTGCTTACTGTGTCCTTTTTTCCTTCTTGATATTTGTGCGCTCCTTCTTTTATCATTTTCTTTTTTTTGGAAAGCTTCTTTGGCTATACTTTTCAGGTAGATTTACTTGTGATAAATCCTCTGTCTTCGTTTATCCAAGAATGTCTTATTTCCCCTTGATTCCTGAAGGATATCTTTCCTGGGTACAAGATTCCCAGATGAGAGTTCCTTTCTTTCAGCACCTAAAAAACTATTTGTAGCTTCTTTCTGGCTTCCATGACTTCTAAAAGCATTTACTCTCATTCCAATTGTTTTTCCTTTATAGGACGTCATTATTTTCTGGATGCCTTCAGCATTTGTATTTAGTTTTCAGAAGTTTATACATTATGTGTCTTCGTTTGAATATCTTCGGCTTTACCATGTTTGGGAACTCAACTTCTTGAATCTGTAGGCTCACGCATTTGCAAAGTTTATTAAAATTTCAGCCATTATTTTCTCTAGATTTTTTGGCTTCATACCCTTTCCCCCTCTATCTGAGACTCTGATGACATGAATTTTAGATCTTCTGTTTTAATCTCACAGATCCCTGAGGCCGTTTCCCAGGTCCCACTGCCAATCTATTAATTCTCTCTTGCTCCGATTGAGTAATTTTTATTATTCTGTTTTATGGTTCGCTGATTCTTTTTTCTATCTTCTCCATTTTTTGTTTCACCCATAAACTGAGTTTTCATTTCGATTATTGTATTTTTAGGTCTAAATTTTTGACTTGGTTTCACTGTATAGCTTCTATTTATTTGCTGAGGCTATTTTTCTCGTTTGTTTCAAGTATGTTTGTAATGGCTCACTGAAGCAAATTTATCATGGCTACTTTAAAGTCTTTGCCAGGCATCTAACATTGTTGTCTTCTCTTTTGAGAGAGGGACTTGCTCTGTTTCCCAGGATGGAGTCCAGTGGTGCGATCTGGACTCACTGCAACCTCTGCCTCCTGGGCTCAAGCAATCCTCTCACCTCAGTTTTCCTAGTCGCTGGGAACACAGTTACATGCCACTTCGCCCAGCTAAGTTTTGAATTTTTTTTTTTTTTTTTTTTTTTGTAGAGACAGGGTTGTTTCCTGGGCTGGTCTCAAACTCCTGGGCTCAAGCGATCCACCTGCCTCAGCCTCCCAAAGTACTGGGCTTGCAGGGTGTGAGCCACCATTCCTGGTCTCATCTTTGTCATTTTGATGTTGCCATCAGTTAATTGTCTTTTTCTAAAATTATTGAACTATGTATAGTTCTTGGAATAATTCCTGGTTCTTTGTATGATAAATGTTTCTTGGTTGAAGCCCAGACATTTTAAATATTATTTTATTAGACTGGCTTTTATTTAAACTTATTTTAATCAGTTTTAACTGATTTTCTCTGACATCTCTTTGTCTTGGCATAGGAAGGTGCTATCTTGTTACTTCTAGGTGGTGCCTGTTGCCTAACCACTCTCTATATTGACCTGTGACAGGAGAGGTTCCTACTTTTTGCTGGATGTCCCAGCTCTAAACATGATGTCCATTGACACTATGGTGAAAGTGACCTCATAACTGCTAGGTGATGTTGAAGGAATTGACTGTCTACTAGGACTTCTCTAAAACCACCCGGCAGTGAGGGAGGGTATGCCTTGTTTCTGCAGGGAAAGTGTGGAATTCCTGGCTCTCTACGTGATCAATAATAACAGATCCAAGTCCCAGATTCAGGAATTATATGAGTAATTCTTGGAAATCTACATTTCAAGGAGTGGACCAGGTGATTCTTAGCATCAGCCAGGTTTTCAGGAATCTTAAAGGCAGGGAAAGGCAGCTGAATCATACATTATGGTAATATTTTTATGTATATATATCTCCTTTAAATATTGATAGGTGAAGGAATGTTGAGGTTTGCTCATCTCAGATCCATTTTACATAGATTATTTTTCTGATATATGGGATTTAAAAAATATCCTTGAGTTTCTCTGGTCATTCTTTTGGATTTTTGCCCTAGCTGTTCAATTTTCATCCTTTCTAACACGCTGCAAAGTGGTGATTTTGTGGATAAACTTTGAACAAGGCAGGGAAGAAAAAAACAAGTCACTGTATTATGTGAAAATTTATGACAATCAAAATCCTTATCACAATCCCTGGAAAAGATCTTATTTATATTTTTATTACTCATTATTGAGTTATCAGAAAACTATATAGCATTTTAAAAATAATATCAATATTAAATAATAATTAATAACAAACCATATACACAAATAAAAAAGTTTGGACAGTCGAACTCTGGGATTCACTTAACTTTGGGAGTTCATTAAATATGAAACAAATGTAGAGTCAGTAAACAGCTACTTACAAGATATACTTGATAATTTTTGTCACAACTGAAAAGGTTTTCTAAAATGAAGTGATTATTTTAAATTTTTTCGTAATTCTTTCTTTTTTTAATTTTTAATTTTTATAGTTTCTGAATTTGGGACTTGGGTCTGCTGTTATTGATCAGGCGTATTTGGGAAATTGTATATCAGAGGAGCTGAAGTGTAACAGGGATAGGACTTGCTCAAAAATTTGGTAATATTTATTAAAATATGTAAATAAATAAAACACTGTCATATTTTATTTCACTGAAATTGGCAATTTAAGTCCATTACTCACCTTATTGAATAAAGGACATTTCCGTTTTTGAAAATTCTGAGCAATTTGTTGTCTGTAGTGACTTCATGAAAGTTGGCACCCTTTTCATTGGCAAAGAACAAATCAGGTTTCCAAATGGAATCCAACATGGAGGGGTCGAGGTCTAAAGAGTCATCAGGATATTCACTGTATGCAAGGCGGGGATCATTCCATTTTTGACGAAGAAAGATATTCACTCTGTAATCCTATGATAAGAGAAAGAAAGAAAGAAAGAAAAAGAAAAACCCTGCTTTAAAAAGTTTAGAATCCATAGTGTCAATGTGGTGCTAGTGTAGGTTCATCCACTGTAGAATATGTACCCCTTCTGGGGATGGGGTGCATAGTTAATAGAGAAGGCTATGCAAGTGTTGGGGCAGAGAACAGATGGAAATCTCTATACCTTCCTCAATTTTTCTGTAAGCCTAAAATTCCTCTAAAAACATAAAGAGTTTGGGATCTTATGTACTATTCTTAGGTTTTTCTGAATTATAACAGGAACCAGTGACATCTTTGGGTGCTTGCATCCTTCAGGATCCTCATTCATTACCACCTAAGAGAGTCATCCTAGTTCTGAGGTTTTGGCCATGTCTTCAGTGACCTATAGCCCTCCAAAGGAAAGACCTCAATTTATCATGTTTACTTGATGTTCCATTCAAAATTTACTTCCCTGCTTTGTCGCAATAAAATTCTGGAATGCTATTAGACACTTAGAGAAAGATATTTTCATCTTTGCATTTATTTTCTAGAATCATTTCTTTTAGTAGATATACGATTACATCCAGAATATAGTTAGAGAACTTTTCTGAAAAGCTCTCTGTGTTACAAAATTGACCATATGTACTTCTACAAAACGAAAGCACATTTTCTCATGTTTAACATAGTATGTAAGTTCTATGAAATAAGTGATTTGAGAAAAATAAAAGCTGATTTTAGAATAATGAAAGATAATAAAGGACAATTATAGCCAATAATACTTTAAGAAGATTTGGCTATTGAGATTTCCCAGTTAGATCCTTCGTAGTTAATTTTAAAAGGAGAGAAGTCAATATTTTCGACCAAATTCTTGCTCATAATTTTGAACTAATGTATAGAATGACAGATGTTGACAGCTGAGTATATGTGTAGTGTCTGAATATACACAGTATATGAAAATAAGTACCACATGTCTTTAGAAATGATTTTTTTCTGGATTTTTGAAACGAGCAAATAAATTAAATATAGACCTCATTGTACTCAACATTAAAGCAAACATTTGAAGATCACTTTATTTGCATGCAAAATAGCCAAGGCTGGAGATATTCACAGGAACTAAAAACCAGTTTTTATCTATTTTTCTATTTCTTGAATACCAAATTATGAGACATCAGAATATAGTAACCAGACAATCACAACCGATGCTGTAATAATATCAGAGCAGGTAGATTGCTTATCTTATTGGCAGATCAAATTAAGGATTTGTACTGAATGTTACAAATCTATATATCCCCTTGATCAATATTTGTGCCCTGAGTCTAGAATCTTCTAACTGCAACTAAGGTTACATACTAGATAATATTTTTTCTGCTTGCTAGATGCCCCATGTATCTTCCAAAGTGACAGTGGAGCAGTGTTCACTTCAACTTGGTACCAGAAAACTCAGGATATTGTGGAAATCTCACCCATCACAAGAATCTGTAGAACTGGTAAATGGGGATATGTGAACAAACTTGTACCAGCCTAGAACGGGTCATCTTCTCTTAGCCTGTAGTCCAGGTCACCAGGAGGCACAGCTCCATGGTTGGTGGCTGGTTCTTGTTTCCTTCGCCATTCTCCAGTGTACGCCCTCAATATCACCAAAGGAATCAGTGACTGATCAAATCAGTCTCTGTCTGCTTTATAGGCAGGAGGAGACTGAACAAGATCAACTTATAGTCATACCTGCCAGGAAAGACAATTGACTAGTAAAGAATTTACATTTGGGCTGGGCGTGGTGGTCCAGGCCTGTAATCCCAGCATTTTGGGAGGCCGAGGCAGGCAGATCACTTGAGGTGAGGAGTTCGAGACCAGCCTAGTCAACATGGCAAAACCCTGTCTTTACTAAAAATAAAAAAAAGTTAGCTGGGTGTGGTAGCAGGTGTCTGTAATCTCAGCTACTTGGGAGGCTGAGGCAGGAGAATTGCTTGGACCTGGAGGCGGAGGTTGCAGTGAGCAGAGATCATGCCACTGTACTCCAGCCTGGGTTACAAAAGCGAGACTTCATCTCAAACAAACAAAAATTACATTTGTACCGATTTATAAGATACATAGTAATCCTGTTTGAAGCGTTTTTTCCTTTAACATTTTTAGATTTATAACTCTGCAGCTGTTCCCCACGCTTAGGCTAAAATAAAAGTGCTCTGTAAGTTGCAGTATATGTAATAAAATTTGATAGAATCTCTTTATCCTTATGTTGTTAGTACTAGTGATCAACGTTATAGATGCATTTTCAGTTATTCTGGGGACACGTTTTGCTCCAAACGTGAGCTAGATAAGATCTTAGGTATCTTTCAGTTTCTGTTTCTAAGTAACACAAGAAAAAAGAAACAGATCATGTGTCACCAAGGCCAAATGTTACTACATACCCACTGTGATGCTCTTTCTGAAGTGACTCTGTCTCTTAATACATTTAGTGTAGGAAAGTAAGAAGCATATGAGGCCGCTGGATGGCAATAATCCTGTCATTCATGACAGCATAAAAAATGTGATTTTATGATCTATTGTACTGGATGGCAAGAACAGTTAGTAATAATGTATTGTATATTTCAAAATTGCCAAAAGAATAAAGTTTTGAGATTCTCACTCTTAAACTACGTTTAGTTAGATGATGACTATGTTAATTAGCTTGATTAAATCTTTCTATTATTTGGTTCAGGGTCAGGGTTCAAAGCAAAACACTAAAATAACCATGTCCTGAAGATCTTAGGAACTAAAATTTTACTGCTCCTCACAGTTTGTTTTGCTTTGCCTGCAAATGAACGTTAAAATGGAAAGCTATTACATGACCAAATTCAGCATTTCAAAAATGGTTTTTTAAGGGCGATTCCTCATAGCCACAGTATCCTATTATACCCAGAATCCAATTACATTAATTGTTTTTGAATTCTGGCCATTTGTGATAATGTGTAAAGAAAGGGGTAAGTAAATTGGCAGTCAAAATAATACCACAAGAAGTCCTTGTAACTAGACTTGAAATAATTTGCCTATAACAAAATTCCCTGGAGTTAAGAAGAAAAGAGCCTTGTACAACAACACATTTTGTATATGGCAAAAGGTTAAATTCCATCTCAACATGACACTACTCAAGAAGGCAACCTGGAGTGTATTAAAAGTTCAAATATGATTGGTAAAATTTTTTTGAAAAGAAAATGTAGCAGAATATTTGTGTGGCCTTGAGGACGGGTAAATTATTTAAAAAGCACAATAGTGTTGATCATAAAATAAAAGTTAATAAATTCTAAGAAATTCTGTTTCAAAGCTCATTTAAGGGTAACGGAAACATAAATTATACTGCAAGAAGGTATTTGCCACATAGACAACTGAGAGTTGATCAGTATCATACTTTGAAAGATTTAATACCAATAATTGAGGAGAACAGAAACAACTGAGTAGAAAATGGCCAAAACAATCAAAACATGTTACTACGCAGGCATTGCAAATGTCCAATGAATATCTGAAAAGTTTGTTCAACCACATTAGTAAACAAAGAAGTGCAAACTAAGATATTAATGAGATATCATTTTATATTTACTCTGCTGTTAAAAATAAGATTTCGATGATATCAGAATTTGGCAAGAATAGTACAGGGCAAAATCATCCTTTATATGTTGCTGCTAAAAGTATAAAATATGGAAAACTTAACATTGTAACATAAATTTGATATGTGCATACTCAGGATACAGATATTTTAGTTCAAAGTATAAAACTTAAAGAACCCCTTGTGCTTTTGCAGCAGAAGACATGCAAAAATATTTACAGCAACACTGTTAGCTACAATAAAAAACCAAGCCAAACCAAACCAAAACCTGGAAACAATTTAAATATTCATTAGCAGAAAAATGCATAATAAAGTGTGCCTTGTCAATAAAATCAAATATCTAGTAGCGAAAATAAATTGCTATTTTTTTTCTTTCTTTCTTTTTTTTTTTTTTTTTTTTGAGACGGAGTTTTGCTCTTTTTACCCAGGCTGGAGTGCAATAGCGTGATCTCGGCTCACCGCAACCTCCGCCTCCTGGGTTCAGGCAATTCTCCTTCCTCAGCCTCCTGAGTAGCTGAGACTACAGGCGTGCATCACCATGCCCAGATAATTTTTTTTTTTTTTTTGTATTTTTAGTAGAGACGGGATTTCACCTTGTTGACCAGGATGGTCTCGATCTCTTGACCTCGTGATCCACCCGCCTTGGCCTCCCAAAGTGCTGGGATTACAGGCTTGAGCCACCTTGCCTGGCCTGCTATTTCTAATGATGGGGATGAATCTTAGAAATGTAAAACAGTAAAAAGAAAAAAAGCAAGTGCTGAGGATATAACTAATGGCACCATTTTTGTAAAATTCAAAAGCAAGCAATCTCTGTCTCTCCCTCTCTCTCTTTATATATATATATTTATATTTATATTTATATTTATATTTATATTTATATCTTTATATATATCTTTATATTTATATATATTTATATATATGTTTGTGTGTATGTATATATGTGTGTGTAAATATGTGTGTGTATGTATGTGTATGTATGTGTGTGTATACATATATATATACATATTCATCAATCTAGAATTATAACAGCAAATTTCATGATACTGATTACGTAGGGAAATAGTGGGGAATGAGGTAGTAGTGGATTATACAGGTATATTTTCTCTCTAAATCTGGGTAATGTTTTTGCTCTAAATCTAGGTAAATGATTCAACAGTGTTTATATCATTAAACTTTACTTCATCACATATATGTTATGCATGTAATTATATATCCAATGAAATCTTGTGATCATAAGAATACTTCTAGCTTCTGAAGAGGAGGAAGAGAGTCAATGCCAAAATGATGTGATGTGAAACTGACTGGGTCTCTGCTGGAGGAAAAGGGCCAAGATAAAAACAAAGAAACTGGGCACCCTCTAGACTAGAAGCTGTAAAAGTGAAGGAATGGATTCTCTCCAAAGCCTCCAGAAAGAACCCAGCCCTGTAGACACCC